TGGCGCAAACGAAAAGGGCTAACCGATGGATGTGCTCTGGTTGCGCTTAGTTTATTCAACCGTACACAATACTGAATTTCTGGCGCTTGTAAAATAGCTAAAAAAGGCTTTCATCTTTCGACATAATTGGCAATCAAGACAGTTTTGCTCTGGAAATAGAAATATGCTTATGCCAGCTCTCAAAATGCTTTTTCGTTTCATACTTTTATATAAACAACTTCACCTGCAAATTTAGGGATGATTCCTACAGATACAATTTTCTTGGATATCGTTAAACTGTGACACCCTGCGGCTTAGGATCAAAAAGGCAAGAAGACTTTCTAGTGGTGTAAATATCATCACATTGTATGCAAAATTTTAAGAGAACTTCTGCATCAAACATGAGGCAACAAAAATCGGACAGAACTTTCGGAACAGCCTAGTATTCTATTTTGAGTAGGTTGTTGATTGGCATTTCATATTTGTAGAATTTGTTCGTCCCTCTTCTTTGAGCAGCAAATGATCTGCGACAGATTGTGCAGAACACTGAAAACGGCTGACACGTTTTAAAAAATGGCATACTAATTTACCTCCCAAAAATTGAGTTTCCTTCACAATAAAAAAGGGTTTTTCACAGTTGTTGCCGATTACGAAAGTGGCGTTTGCGCACCGGTCTGATCATGAGATAAAATAAGACCGGCGTGGTACAAGGGATCAAAGTCAAACAGGGTATGCCCTAAACAAGATAATTGTTACTTCTCATGGAATTAAAGGCAGCGCCCAGGCAAATCTGGACCTATGGGGCTCTCATGTGGAAAGAGATCTCGACGCCTTAAATAAGACTCTATCCAAGCGGCAGGTCAGATAGTGCACCCGCGGCCAAGATATGGGCTCCAAACCATGCCCCGTGACCATATCCGCATGGATTCATGGCTCGGCACATCAGTTTCGCGTGGATACTTCCGCAGCGCCACGAATCCATGCGAATACGGAGCATAGTTTGGAGCCCAATATCTTGGCCTTGAGTGCACTATCTGAGCTGCCGCTTGGGCAGAGTCTTATTTACGCCCTTAAGATTACTTTCCACGTGAGAGCCCCATAGGTCCAGATTTGCTTGGACGCTGCCTTTAACAGGTCGTTCTGCACCGGTAAATGCTGGTCAATAAAAAACGCAACTTAACACATTAAACCCAGATGCACCTTTAAGTGAGCCTGTACTGCAGAAAGGTCTAATAGAGATGTGAAGTGAATCCTTGACAAAATATGGCCCCATGAGGCAGAAATTGGCATGAGTGTTGTGCAAGTGCATTTTTTCCATGTATTCTTGAAATTCCGTCTCGGCTTTCCTGCGTTTGTTTCGCTCTCACACACGTTAAACGGTGCTGGTTTAACTGTAAGAGGGATTTGGACGTTAGTTAGTTGATTTTTTTGGGAGCAGGCGCACTGTCTTTCGGAGGGTGGTTAACATCTGACGGAACGTGGCAGAAGGTAGTGCGCTACAGCAGGAAATATATTATTGCCTGATTCTTTTCTTAAAATAAAATTGTTCGTTTTGTGGGTTTATACATACATTACAAATTTATGAAACATTCTATATTGATACTGGGCACTTTGACGTATATGGCACATTGAAGTTCAGTGAGTATAGAGTGCAGTATAGATGCATATATGAATGATGGATAAAGATCTTGTACTCGTGAAATGTGTAAATAAGTACAAATGGTACAAATACTGCATAGGAAGGATGTTCTCTGGCCTCTGCTCCCAGCGATCCGAAGATGTGTGATAATGCCTGTTTCAGTGTAGTGCAATGAATGTCGCACTGATTTATTTGCCCAGTCAAGAATATTTCAGCAAAGACTCTGCAATATTACCAGTTCTCCAAACATGGCTGTAAATCAAGAAAATTATGATCGAATAATGTCCAAGTCGCTGAATGTTTGTGTGAAGAGTGACGACTTTTTACGAGTTTCAAAGGCCTTAGTTCCCCAACTATCTACCTTTTACAATCCCTAAATGGCCTCCAAAACAAATCTGTAAGACCTTTTAATCTTATCATATATCTAATACATTCTTCGAAAAGTGAGAAAGTTTTCAGTGCAATCTCTGTTTTAGCGTTGGTATTTTATATGATGGCCAAAAAACTCAATTCTTAGTTAGGTCTGAGCATGGTTCCACGTTGACCGGTTTCGACGGTGTACAGCATAGTTGAAATTTATGTAACAGACTAATGTTTTTTGTATCCTTGTCAATATCATTCGAGCAATTAACATCAAAGGCTGTAAAAGTTATTTTAGGAGACTGATGTGGTCCCAACAGCCTCGCAGTGGTTGATGCGCCGCCTTTTCGTTTTTCCTTCCGTGTTATGGGCCTATTTGGCCGTAATGATCTAGAGTCAAAGATGGTCTCTGGATAGTCCATTGAATTCTCCCTCAGCTTAAGAGGATATATTTGTACGTATTTTTGTACGTTATTGTAGTGCTCGAACTTCATTAGGAACTTTTGCAGCTGTAATGATGAGCAGCGTCTTCCCACTCTATTCATCCTTGTCCTTGGAAGCAGGGATTTGCTCTGCAATTTTTATGTACAAATGAAAAGTTTTTTTTTTGAGTTTCTAAGGAATGCTTACTTCACAATGTCTAATTCAAAGGTGGTTGTTTTCGAATCACTGTTGAAAGAAATGTGTCAGACAGGTGGTATTCCTATCTTACTTCCCCTAAGCAAAACGCTTGGAGTAAAATTATCGGCTAGAAGATATTCTGAGTTTTTGAATGTTGGCATGTTCCGCTTATTGCTAGCAATCGGTTCTTTTTGATGAACATTTTTCTTCACATTTTATTGCGAGTCTCTGAAAGCGTATCGATTACGAAAGATCTTTATGATGTTGTGATGTTGCCTACCGACCTGTCGCATTTATACGTTGCTTTAGAGGGTGTCCCAAAAGCATGTGTGTTTTGATTTTAAGATTTGTCCTCTGCCGTACGGATTTGATCAGAAATTCTCAGGTAGGGAAGAGAAAATGGCATGTAAAACGCAAAACTTTAAGAACTGGAAAATCCATATACAATAAGCGATTACTACTCTAATCTGTGCAAATATAGGCTACTCCCTTGGCCATGACAACAGACGTCCCTTTTTAACATACGAAAAAATAAATTAATGGCTACAAAAACAGCAATCTGCATATATTAGGTCGGTCCGAAATTCCGTGCTTTACAGACCAATCCCCAAGCTACTCGGAATAACGACCAAACGCTCTAGACAGTGTTGAATGCATTTTCTTCCCTTTTCTCGCAAATACGATTTTCCTTCGATTTTGATGATCGCTCCAATAACTGTCGAATCTCCGACACGTAATTTTTACATGCCCTAAGCTTAGCTATTATCATAAATTTCATTAGAGACTTTCAAAGAGCTACCATAACATCGGATAGATCAAATGGTGTGCAATGGAATAAATTAGTTAAGCCTCTTCAACTGGCTTTTTCCCAATTTTACAAAGTGATTTTTTGAAGGTCTTCTTTGCGAGGTCGTAAATTACACAAACGCTTTGAACACTGACAAATGCTCAGAACTGGGAACCAGGAAAACACGGTTATGATTCACAGATTGAGGAATTTGATCAAGTATTTTTGATTTTATCCCTGAAGACTTCACAAATTAGAGAGGTAAACGAGTCTCAGGAAAAGTAGAAGAGGTTACACCGAATGAAATTCGTTCTAGTTGCACATCGCCATCGCTTTATGATGTTTGGGTTAGTCAAATGGTATTTGTATCGTCGAAAAATAATCAAACATAATGCGAATCAAAAAGTGCAAAAATACAAAAATGCATTGCATTGTACGTTGTTTACTCTATCCGGTTGCTATCAAAGCTTTCTATCAAAGCAGCAAAAAAGGAAATGAAAAATTGCCGATTTTGGCTAAGGTAAAACATGGAATTGAAACTTCGATTGTTTAGTGAACACAAGATTAGCCAATTTGGCATGACTGACCGCTGGAAAGAGGAGGAAAGTGCGAAGTGCGTCGAATAGTGTGTGAAGCGTTCTTGTTTTTGCTCTAACTATTTTTAAGAAAGGTCAAAAAAAATGGACAGAACTTTTGGAACGACGTAGTATGATTAAGACTGCTAAGAAGATTATTGACACACAGAAATCATTTTGGAAATTGGGCGCAAAGGGTTGAGTTAGACTGCACTGCGTCATGCGCGGCGTACAGGATGTGCGAATGTCTATGCTCCATATCCTTATGCACGTGTGCGTACGTTGCTTACGTCGCAAGTAGTCTAACTTAAGCCAAAGGGTAATCTTTGTTGCTTTATGAAGGCATTATACAGCGTAGCAATTGCATGCTGTGATATAGCGTGCCCAAGCATATATACCCTGCGCACTACGAAAAAGATCGTAGGATGCACTCTTTGCAACCATGTGTAGTTCTCCTTCATGTGTATAACTGCAGCAGATGACTAGACCGTTAGTTATCCTGTTGCTTTTCTAGTCGTCTGCTTACCAACAAGATACATACAAGCTAATAATTTCCACAATTGATATGAGTTCAGAAAACTTGAACATTGGATGTCATGTAATTATGTGATGTTCATGCCGAATCCAGGTTACTACTGGCGGTACTACGTTTCGACTATGTCATCTTCTTCCGAAGTTGAAAGCAGGATGAAGTCTTTCTCTGTCTACGAAATTACGCACAATCTTCTTCGCTTCGCTTCTCCATGCATACGCGCTTCTTAAACAGCATCCCTTGCACAACGTACTAACAAACGTATTGATAAGCACAACAAACTCTGGATCCACCGCGTGTTGGTTGAAAGCTAGTAGCATCATACCAGTAACTGAAATACTTTCACCTAGAAAAAAATTGCCTCTCCAACGTACTATGTTGGATAAGGTAAAAAAACTTGATATTTTTCCTTGAGAGACACAGACTCTCCTTGTATAGAATTTCAAGGCTCTTTATTGGTATCATAGCGACTACGTTACTATCACTAAGGGGCATTCAATGTTCTAGGTAGATCGTATCATACTAATTCATACTATCAAGCTGCACGGGATCAAATTTTTTGTGTTGTCAACCATCTTCGTATTCGAAACAAGCCCGGAGCCTATAGTAAGTTTACCAACATAGATTATCATCTCTGTCAACAGCAAATAGCGCGGAAGCGTTGGAACGGCACAGGTCATTTCATCTTCGTTGAACTTGCATTCTAGTCTGAAAAACTCTAATTTTTGTTAAAAGCAAAAAAAGCGTCAATAATTCCCACGCCATTCTGAAACACAAACCAAACTACTCTTGCAAATGCGGAAGCGGAAAGTATTATGTTCAATTAAAAGTCGTTCGCACCATATTCAAAAAATCGTAATTTCTTCATATCACAAGTGTATTGTTCAAATAAAATCCTATTAGAAAGCGTAGATTGTGTACTAAACAATCGCATGAGAGTTCTGCATTGTCGAGGCGCAGCTATCACCCAACAACTGCTTGCGATGGAGGTTGGCCTAACAATGACCTCTACCCGACGGCAGGAGCCGGTGCTCTCTTCCCCTTTTCCCCTTCCTCTTTTGTATATAACCTGTATACTAAATATTAGGGTAAGCCTTATGTAACCGCTACACATCAGGTAAAGGATTCGCGAAGCTTTATCGTGACAACATTGAGCTCAGGTAAAAGCAGAGAAATGAGATCATTTAGAGTTTTGCGATTTTAAGCAGGCCTGTTAAAAGTTTCAGAATTGTGCGTATAAAAAACAGTCACTGTCACAAAATTGTAATCGAGCTCCTCTTCAAAGAGTCATGTTTTAGAAACCACCAAGAACGGCATTTTTCTCCAAAATCAAAACTTTTCAAAGATTGGCTCGTTCAGCACGAGATCTACTTACTGTTAATTGAAAAGGAAAAGATCAAAAACTTGTAATGTTGGTTAGGTTGAATTTTACATATTTTAAATCTGAGCAGTAGAGAGCACTCAGGCTCAACTGAAACACATGATTGCTTTCTCGAAAGGAGTTACGATTTTTGGAAATGTGCGAACGAATTTCTAATTAACCTAATATGATCTTCGTTCTGAAGCTGCTTTTCCAACAAAAACAATGCGCACCATTTATCATCCCCACAATCATTTGGAAGTAGACCAATGGAATTGAATTCATCAGAAACTGGGTGAAGCTCATCACAATTTTCTTGAAGAAAGCTTAACTAATGACAATGATTTTGCAGAATCTGGTCGAATTGCAGAAAACAAGAAATGTTGTAAAGGATGCTCTGTCGTAAGTACAGCATAGCTCTTTCTTCACCTGCTATTATGAACTTACTCTCCAATAAATAATTTTGTTGAACGCATTGAAGGGTAAATGGTAATACTGCCAATGATTTAGAAAAAATTCCTCACTTCGCAGTCATAGAGCCAGAAGATATATCGACGCATCGGAATATATGGAAGACACTTATCATGAAATTTACGATAGTAAATGGACCGTCTACCCAGATGGACGCGGTAATTACATCATCCCATTCACGATATCTGCAAATTACGGTAAGTCAGTGAGAACGCTTTTACAAAGTTGAATTGAGGGGTGTCTAATCAGAGCTGACGTAGATACGAAACCGCTTAGGTATACCACAATGAGTTCGTGGCAAGTTCGGAGGCGTGTAGCATAGATTTTTTTTGTGTACGAGTTCCACAATACCAAGTTCTTTAATGACATCATAAACCCAAACTGAGATTAGTGTGGTTTTGACGCTCTATGATAGCGAGATACAGTAAGTAATTGCCCACCATTTGCGAAAGACGGATCCCGAGGCAATAACAAGGGTTATCTGAGGATAAGAGCTCAAAATCAATTAATTTAAGGTAAATAAATGTCAAGTTTGATATTTAGAGTGAAGGGCGGTTTTATGACATTTTAGATACATCATAGCCCGATTTGGGAGTTTTCATCTCCAGATTATCTACGTGGGTGGGCGAAGCCACCTGGACCTCTACCTTCTGAAGCGATTTTCTCGCTTCACAATCCATATTTTGCAGAGGGGCGTGAGCTACAAATTAGTTAGGAGCCCCGATATTATGCAGCACAAAATGGATCCTCAGCAGTGGCGTACCGAGGGGGGGGGGGTGGCGCGCCTCCCCCCCCCCCCCCCCCGAGAATGGGTCGCGAAATTTTTGAAAGTTACTTACATGAGTCGTAAAAATGTGCAAAAGACTTATTTATACTTGTAAGTAAAAATAATTTAAAAATTTTTTAAAAATTCAATTTAGCTTTATAAAAAAAATTTTTTCGGGGGCTTTTGGGGTCAGGGGCCCGGAGAAAATTTGGAAAACCTCCCAAGAAATTTTTCGGAGTGCGTGGCTGACGCCACGCACCTTCTTTAAAAAAAATTTTTTTGCGCCCCCCCCCCCCGAGCCGAAATCCTGGGTACGCCACTGATCCTCAGTATGGTGAACGGCGTTTTGATATCTATCTTCCCAAGAAGTCTTCTTCTATCATCAAAAACCATTCTGTAGAGCCAGTTCAACTTGAATTTATAGTGCTGTGGCTCAAACCTCTCTTCAAGTTTCCTCTACGGTAATTCTGCAGTGATGAAGAGCAATCTTGATTCGCTCCATAATGTGAATTTAAGTTGAAGTCAGCTCTACAAAATGATACCTAAAGCTTCAGATCTCCTTCATGACGAGAGAGTTATACAAAAAGATTTCATACTTTCAACAGCTATAACTTCTGTATTTGCATACGAGCCTTAGGTTATCGAACAATTTGCCGTCTTTCCTCGCCATGGACGTAGCAACGCAGACATAACATGCTACCGTGACGCACTATTCTCCACGGTGATGTCGTTATCTGTACAGTCGAATCATTTCATATGATTATGTGTGTCACTGCACATATTGTCCACCTTTAACGTCCTCATCCTAAACTTTAGGAACAGATAGCCTTTTGCTAGGAGTTTCATGTTTTCTTCAAGCTTTTTCTCCTTTTTAGATGTTAATCTTCACAAAGTGATGTAAGCGATAACAAGCGGTCGCTCTCTTGCGTTTTTGCGATTGCATCCAGGATGGGGACGCCAAAGATGAACAGCACATGGTCATATGAAATGATTCGACTATACAAAGAACGAGAACTATTGAATCAGACCTGGGAGAGATTTAATTATCACGTTTGCTCACTCGAAGGTACTAAATCTCAACTTATGATATCGAGTGAATGATGTTATTGCTGCACTCTTAGATTTTGGCAAGTTTGCCTTGTTAGAGAATGTCTCTTTCCGCTTTTATCTCTACAATCTGCCGCCAAGGTGTCATCACAAATAATCTTCTCAATTACTCAAAAAAACTTGATGGAAAATCCAGAACTAACTTCTGCAATTCTCATTCTTACACAAAACTAGTGAACCTAATTGAAGGCGCTCGATTGCATCAACTCGCTTCGGGACCGCCGCGCCGTTTCCCGCTATTTGCAGATTTTTGAATTGCGCTTACGTTTTTTTATACGTTAGACTAGTGAACCAATAATCCAAAGGTGCTATTTGGAAGAGCGTTCGCTTCGGGACCCACACGCGGTTTCCCGCTATTTGCACATTTTTGAATTGCGCTTACGATTCTTTATATATTACTAACTGGCTTACCCGGCTCCGCCGTATCCGGACCAAACTTGGCACACATACACTTCGGGCCCCGGCGGGTGTCATAGTCCACTTTTCGTTATCGATCGATGTCGATTTTACCGATTTTTATCGATTTTTTTGCAGAATTCACCTACAGGGCTAGGAGTTGGCACAGGGGGAAGTGAGCATGGGGATTCCGAATACAATATTAGTTTTCAGAATTATCGATTACTTTTATTGATTTTATCGATTTTTTGTAAATTTTGACATGCGAGGCTGGAATTTTGCACAGGGGGGTAATCGAGCATGCTGATTACGAACACAATATTAGTTTTCAGGATCGTCCATTACTTTTATCGATTTTATCGATTTTTTTTGTAAAGTTTGACCTGCGGGGCTGGGAGTTTGCACAGGGGGGTAATCGAGCATGCAGATTACGAATACAATATTAGTTTTCAAGATCGTCCATTACTTTTATCGATTTTATCGATTTTTTGAAAATTTGAGCTAGGGGGCTGGAATTTGGCACAGGGGGTAATCGAGCATGCTGATCACCCCCTTGGGGATGATCAGCATGCTCGATTACCCCCCTGTGCCAACTCCCAGCCCCCTAGCTCAAACTTTGCAAAAAAATCGATAAAATCGATAAAAGTAATCGACAATCCCGAAAACCAATATTGTATTCGGAATCCCCATGCTCGATTACCCCCCTGTGCGAACTCCCAGCCCCGTAGCTCAAACTTTGCAAAAAAATCGATAAAATCGATAAAAGTAATCGATAATCCTGAAAACCAATATTGTATTCGGAATCCCCATGCTCGATTACCCCCCTGTGCCAACTCCCAGCCCCGTAGTTGAACTCAGCAAAAAAATCGATAAAAATCGATAAAATCGATATCGATCGATGACGAAAAGTAGCCTATGACACCCGCCGGGACCCGAAGTGTATGTGTGCCAAGTTTGGTCCGGATCGGTTCAGAAATGGAATTTTCTATTCGGAACATACGTACACACACACAGACAGACAGACAGACAGACAGACAGACAAACAGACATTCAGCTTTATATATAAGAAGATAGATTAAATAGATTAAATAGAATCGCCAAATTGTGGTGACTGACTTTGTTCGATTCAGTCTTCAACTTTTTGTCTCTATGCTATGAGTGCATGAGAGCGATTGCTTCATCTGAAAAATCGAAGTTATAGATATTGCTTTTCAGTGGAAGTCCTGTCAAATTTGATATAATGCAAAACAGAGCTCAACTTCCAACCTAAAAGTTCTCAAAAGTAAATTTTCAGGAAAGTCAGAAAGGAAGATGATTCTCGAAACGATGCGTGAACTTGAAAAGAACATATGTATACGTTTCCGTGAGCGCCGACGTCAAAAAGACTACATCTACCTTCGTAGTGGAGAAGGGTAAGGCGCCACACACTTTGGTACAGACATTTATCGCTCCACTCGTTTGGCTTTTATTGTGTGTTTTAGAAGAAAGACTGAGACATATTTTTGCGTATGAAGCGCGATCACTTTGATACGCTATGGAGTAGTTGTAAAGCTTATTTGCCAATCTAAAATATGCTTTACGATCACACAATAATTATGATGGCGCCCTGGAAGACTGATGATCTGAGAAAGGGTATTGCGAACATAGGTTCTCGTATTTTTCTCAATGATATTGTTGTAAGTAATATTGTACACACTTAGTCAAACTACGGTGTTATATGGATGCCTTTGAAAAATAAGTTATGTATAAGTTTTGGTTTTGCATTTGAATTTTGGAGGCTTGAAAACTTGAAGCACATCAAATGCGTAGAAAATTTGTATCAAGCAAGTGAACACGTCTAAAAGTCCGTTGTAGTAGGAGAGCATGTTTCACTTTATTCACTTTTTTGCTCCGAAAAAGAAGTCCAGCGTGCTTCCACGTAATAACCTCTTTCTGCTTTGAACATCACTTTTGAAGTAGTCTGAAATATGCATTGATCGTATGCAAGTAAATTTTCCTTCCGATTTTGAACTTCCCCTTCATTGTGTGAACCATGTGTTCATGTCATACTATACAGGGTGTCCGTAAAGTATGTATACCCTGTTCGATCGTTAATATCTCTTTTCCCAAGAAGTCGTTTGCCTTGCTTCAGGTACCATTTTGTAGAGCTGGCTTCGACTTAGATTCACAGTATGGAGAGAATCACCCATCTCTCTTCATTACTGTAGGATTACGGTGGAAACTTCAAAAAAAGTTTTGAGCCATGAAAGGATATATTTTGCCTCAGAAAGGAAACAAAACAGCCTGAAAACTTTTACAATAGGCTAATTAGAGTTGCTGATTCTAACTGTAAGGTTCCCAACTTATTATGATGCTTCTTTGGAGAGTTATGCCGGGAAAAGGTAGCAACCATTTTTTCAATATTTCGATAAAGTGCGGTTACACCATTCAGAAAGCTTCGCCTGTGAACAGTTGAGTATTGAACTCAGCGTCCATAAAAACCCTATTACACAAGTTTCCACATTTTTTGAAAAATTTTGAAACGGCAGCTTTTCCCACATTGACACCATATGTTTCAAGTTTCCGTAATATTACAGTAATAAAGAGAGATGGGTGATTCGTTCTATACTGCAAATCTAAGTTGAAGCCAGCTCTCAAAATGCTACCTGAAGCAAGGCAAAAGACTTCTTGGGAAAAGAGATATTAACGATCAAACAGTGCATACATACTTTACGGACACCCTGTATAAGTCAAATCCGAAATTGACAAATGTAGTTGATATTGATCCATTGGTAATCATGCTAGTTCTTTTTATTTTTTATTTTCTATGGAAAAAGTTTCGCTCTTTTAACACGAACAAAAGTTCACGAATTGCTTGCAACTTTTCCAGATTCGAGATCACCGCTGTGTTTTCTTCTTTCTGCAAGCAAGACTTATGACATGGTCACCTGCATGAGCACCATAGATCGTTCATTGTGAATGATAACCTCAGGAACCTCATGCTGTCAGATTCTATGAAAATCTCAGAAAACGTCGAGAAAAAACGCAAGTGCAGTTTTCGGACTTTTGATGTACTCGTATCGTTCTGGGATGCTGGTGTTTTATGAAGCTCGTTCGTTGCTGGCGACAAAAATCAGAGTTTGTGTCAACCTTTACTCCACTTTCGTCAGTTTAAAGGCAGTGTCCACCAGATTGGAGGTATCTGGTTCTTGTAGCAATGTAATATTAGACCTTTTACTTAAGGGCACCGTCCACCCAAAATGGAGGTTGGCGAGATTATGATGGCATACTAGTGTGGGCCCCCATACTAGACAAACCCCCAAGTTTCGCCGCAAAGCACTGCTTCTGAAGCGAGAAATCCGCTCCGGAAGTAACAAAGTGGGTGGGGCGCCCCCGGCGGTCCACCCAACTCGAATTCAATGTTTTTGTCGCCTTCAGGCCTTCTGAAGGCCCTGATTCCGAATATGGAGTCGAAAATTCGCGAAACCCCCAAAAATCCCTGTTTCGAAAACCCTCTGCAACAAGTGCAGGCGAGATAAAGCATGCAAGTGGGCGGGGCGACCGGTGGCGCCCCGCCCACTTTTGTTACTTCCGGAGCGGAATTCTCGCTTCAGAAGCAGTGCTTTGCGGCGAAACTTGGGGGTTTGTCTAGTATGGGGGCCCACACTAGTATGCCACCATAATCTCGCCAACCTCCATTTTGGGTGGACGGTGCCTTTAAGCGATGACTGAAGTTCGGAGCGAAAAAGGGTCTGCAAGCTTGAAATCTGCTCCAGAAGTGGCCCGAATCTGACGGTAGGCTCGGGCGAGTGCGAGATAGATGCATGCAGAGACGCAGAGTCGTTGCAAGACCCTGCGCTCATGACTGTGTGCACTTTACGCACCTGGCCTTGCATCGATATTGTTGTGCGGGCAGCATCCGGGCTTACCGTGAGATTCGGGCCACTTTCAGAGCAGATTTCAGACTTGGTAGACCCCCTTTTTCGCTCCGAACTTCAGTCATCGCTTAGGTAGGGGGTCTACTCTTACATTATTACGAGAGCCAGATACCCCCAGTCTGGTGGGACATTGCCTGTAAGTGCTATGCCAGAGCACTGCGCAACGTAGGAATAGCTTGGGCACTCAAGATTTGCTTTGATTAGAGGTTGCCATGCAAAGCCCTGCGCTGATCTCTGCGAAAACCTGAGTAATACAGACTTTACTCAAAAAGCGCCTAGCAACAACGCGACTTGCTCTTCCAATTCGAGATGTGTGAACCGATAATTGTCGTTTACTAAAAACTCTGAGTGACTAAAATATAATGTTCGTAGTTTTTGTTGTATACAATTCTCAGTTAAGCCTTCTTCAACAAATAATTGCGATATTGCCTTTCGTTTACCGAAATTGAACCGCATTATGCAGGAAAACGTGAAGATCCGTAATTGCTCAATTTTTGGTAAATGAGCAGTCCATTTCAGTTTCGCGATTTCATGGGCGCGCAGGCATTATCTATCTTGGTGAGAAAATCATTTAAACCCTGCCATTTCAGCAAAAAGCTGATCGCTTCCCGTGGATTTGTTGATCGTTCGTTGCAATTTTTGAAACTCAAGCGGTGAACTTAAGAAAGCAGAAGCAATTCAGTCTAGCTAATATACGGTCACTTTTTTGAAATTTTCCTTCAGCTATAGGCAGGATAAGATCAACTTTATCACTTGATCCACATAATGTGAATTTTCATAGGTGCGCTTCGACGGTCGGTTACAAAGAAGGAAAGACTGAAGTTTCGCTTGAAAAAGACGGGTTAGTTACGCAAGGAATTCAAATTCAGCGTCGGAAGTTGCCACGTTGAAATTCAGATGTATCGACCAACCGTCAATTTTCCATGAACTATTACACGTCATTGGTGCAGACCATGAACATCAACGTTTAGATAGAGACAGATATATTAAGGTGCACTGGGAGAATTTGAAGCCAAATGGTACATACCTATTTCTTGCAATATTTGAACGTAACATTGTCTACCGACTAGATGGGTAAGATGACTGGTTGAGCTTTGAGGGGTGTTTAAGGCCTAAGGCATACCTCACGCGATTTCAGTCGCTGCGCGATCTGTCACTTCAGCACCCTTCCATAACTGGCTCTAAGCATGTTTTGCTTGAACCAGACTTGATGGTTTTTCGAAAACGTACAGGAGCTACACACCTACGCATTTGAGAATCGTGTGCGCTTTATTAGAAATCTAGCTCGCCAAGTCGCGTGGATGCAGCGATGTGACGCAATCGCGGAAAGTATGCCTCAGGCCTAGAACAGAGTTCATGCGATATCATTGTCGCGATTGATCGCGACAAGACAACTGTAACAACATCATTGCATGGCGATCTTCTTGCATTTCGGTTTAATAGTTTTCCAACACGACTAATCGTGACTAACTATCACAACCGAAATACAAGAAGATCGGCATGCAATGAACTTGTAAGACTTGTCTTGTGGCGATGAATCGCGACGATTGAACTTCGTGAACTTTGTCCGGGGCCCTAAGCCTAAGGGACGCACAAAAACGCGTCTTTGGCTAACTGCAGTCTAAACGGGACATACAACGCTAGATCGACTGGCTTCATAAGGTGCAACCTAAATGCCTCTTCCTCTGAGATCTTTTGTTGGCGATGATGAAACGCTTTATCAAAGCGCGCAATGCAGGTGCTTCGAAGATAATTTGATTATGAACAAGTCATTCGAAAATTCAGAAGAGCAGAATTTCATCAAGGAAGCCCAAGTCCCGGAAGATTTAATATATGACTACGAATCCATCATGCATTATGAAGAAGATGCTTTTGCGAAGGAAGGAACAATCACTATAAAAACTTTGGACCCCCATTTTCAGGTGAAGCTTACATACCACATGTATTGGATAGTAACCAGGGTCAAGCAGGTGGTGTGGTACACGATCGCTGGTTACACCCCTCTGATTGCTGTCTCAGTAAGACCCTCCTGAGCTATATACCTGAGATAACATTACTTGAAGGCCCTATCACATAACGGGCAAAATAACCATAATTAGCATGTCAATTATCTCCTGTAGACAAAGTTTGTGCGAGTTCTGAAGATTCAAGATTCTGGGCCACCTAAGTGAAATGGTAATTTTCCATCATGATTAAATTTGTTTGAAAGGTGGGTTAGCCCGTTTTTGCACTCAAGACAAAGCACTTCTCTTTCGCTGTCCACTTCACAGACCCGTTTCAAAAAACCTCGATATTGTGGAATTAGAGGCCAACCAAGATCTCGTTTTTCCCAGTCTTCGCTTTTGATGGCTGTGCTTACGCCAGATGTTACTCAGAGCTAAGAAGACAAATCAGGCTCAAATCACTCCTGTAAATTCTAGAGATTCAGGCTATCGATTTTTATAAATACTGTGCACTAAAAATGTTTTTTGATTTAGTCACTGGGATGTTGCAACTTCTAAAAAGTTGTGGCGGCGGCCACAGCTTTTAAGGGGTTGTGCCACACCCATTAGCTTACCTTCAAATCACTCAAATCTCTGCGTTTTTTGTATCGTTGGTGTTGCTCAACCTTCTTCTTTACATATTGAGAGAACCATCTGAAATCGTTTCTTCTAGGAAAATAATCGTTTTTCCTTACTCATGCAAATGGAAAATACTGCGAAAATATTGGGTTACGGTAACATGCCTAGTCTGTGCTACTATGTGAATCGCGATGTAAGGCGACAAGACTGAGTACATACGATAGCCTAACTTTCGTAATCCACACTGAAGTGATATGAGCCTGATTGGTCTTCTCTAATCTGAGAAAAATTGAAGAAATGAGATTTTGACTTGCTGGTACTTCCATAGTTTGGATGTTATTCGAAGTAGGATCTCCAATGTGAGCAAAAAAAATAGTAGTGTTCTTTGGACTCACCTTTGAAACGAAGGTAACATGTTTAAAATGACTATCTCACTTGGATGACCCAATATTTGGAAACCACAAAAGTCGCTGAAACTTGTCCCACAGGATTTGACATTCTATTTAAGAAAATGATGCTCTTGTGCTTATAGTGCTGTTTTATTACGCTTGCGGTACGTATACGATGGTAGGCCAAAACATCGATATGCTAGTACTTTACACAATGCCTATCTGAAATTGTTGAAGAATATCATGTTATCGCTAACATCAGCTCACCTAGGGCCGCATGCACGAACCTCCCCGCTGGGGAGGGGATCGCGGCTTAAAAGAAAGCTTTATATTTCGAAACTCCAGATACCTGAATTTCAAGTTGTGTACCTATCCGTAGCATTCCTACTACCCTTCACTATGAACATGTTGAAGAGGAGCGAAAAGCTGTAAGAACCGCATTTTCCAGCTTTTGTATGATCTCTGATGATCCCCTTCGCTTTTCTTTGAAGTCATTTTTCTTTCTCCGAAGTTAACGAAAACCTTCCAAAGTTGTACTGAATATAACACAACAGTGCTAAGCATGTTGCTGATGAGAACAAATGAGTTTTTGAAAAGTCGAATTTTTCGGTAAACCTCAAATTTCGACCTGTGGATCATCGAAAATTTCATGACTTCAAAACATCATTTGTTCTTATCAGCAACATGCTTAGCACTGTCGAGTCAGATAATCTGCACAACTTTGAAGGTTATTCCTTAACTTCGGAGAAAGAAAAATGACTTTAAATAAAAGCGCCGGGGATCATCAGGGATCATAGAAAAGCTGGAAAATGCGATTCGTACAGCTTTTCGCTCCTTTTCAACATGTTCATAGTGAAGGGTAGTAAGAATACTTACGGATAGGTACACAACGTGAAATCCAATCGTGAAATCCATCTGGAGTTTCGAAATATAAAACTTTCTTTTGAGCTGCGATCCCCTCCCCGCGGGGATGTTAGTGCATGCGGCCCCTAAATAACAACTCCCCTCCTCCCCGACCCCTCAATACGACCCCCCACTCAATAATCGCCGGGGGCAGGCGGTCCGCAAACTTGCGCTTTTCTGCAGGCGGTCAGCAGAATTTTGGGGAGTGGCCAAACTTTCAGCGGGCGGCACTTTCTTTACAGTCGCATATTCTGCCAGCGGGCAGCAATACAGCATTTTTTGCAAGCGCTCGGCAAATAATTTCTTTCAGCGAGCGCTGGCCAAAGTTTCAGCAAGCGCTCGGACTCTTTTTACGCATTATCGGGCGTACGTCGAGCACAGGTAAGACTCTGTGTGGCAGAGGTGTCACCATTGGTTTAATTACTCAAATTTGAGGTACTTTCTCTCAGCGGGAAGTACCTAGGGACTGCGCGGTCCTTCACAAAGGACCGCGCGGCCCCCGAAAATCTTGCATATTCTCGCGGAAAGTCCGCGAGAATGCGGCCACTGCGCCGCAGCTAATCTATAAGAAAACCGCGATTGTTCTCCAAGCATTCGTCTAAAATTTCGCTAAAATTATTCCAAATTTTGCAAGCGGGCACAACAAATCAGCGAACTATTTTTCCGGTGCGCGCTTGCTCAAAATTCGCATGGCCGCCTGCCCCCGGCGATTATCTGAGCAGGTGTGACGTGTCACACCCCACGCTTGACCCTGATATAATTAATTGAATATATTTTTATGTCGCTTCAGCATATAATCGGGAAAGCAAAAGAGCCATCGGTACTGGACTACGCGAAGATTTGCGTTTATTACGACTGCGTGGAATGCATGGGTTTATATGACTGGTATTACAAAGATGTCCAGCATGCACGTTGATACAAATAAATCATCTTCGATCTTACAATATATAGCTGAATGTCTGTTTGTCTGTGTATATATGTGCATGTATGTCTGTAACTACTCTCTACTGAATCGACAGGATTGTGGCAAGTGGGGCTCATGTCCTCGTGGCCGCCTCGTCTGGCACTGCACTATACAGGGTGTCCCAAAATAATGTGCACACTGTTTGATTTTGAATAACTCTCTTATTATGAGGCCTTTCGAGAAGTGGTAAGCGCCATTTGGCAGAGCTGGCTTCAACTTAGATTTGAATATAGAGCGAATCACCGACCGCTTTATCACTGTGGGATTACGGTAGAAACTTGGAACATATGGTGTCACTGTGGAAAAGCTGCCATTTCAAAAATTTTCAAAAAAGATGTGAAAACTTGTGTAATAGGGTTTTTAGGGACGCTAAGTTCAATACTGAACTATTTTCAAGATTGCGAAGCTTTCTAAACGGTGTAACCGCACTTTTTAGGAACACTGAGAAAATGGCCGCTACTGCTTACCTCGCATAACTCTTCAGTGAAGCATCATAATAAGTTGGGAACTTTACGGTTAGAATCAGCAACTAATTGGCCTAGAAAAGTTTTCAGGCTGTTTTGATTCCTTTCTGAGGTAAAATATGGCCTTTCATGGCCCATACCCTCTTTCAAGTTTCTACCGTAATCCTACAGTAATGAGAGCGGTCGGTGGTTCGCTCTATACTGCAAATCTAAGTTAATACCAGCTCTACAAAATGGCGCTTACCGCTTTTCGAAGAACCTCATAATTAGAGAGTTATTCAAAATCAAACAGCGTGCACATTATTTTGGGACACCCTGTACTTTGCAATATTCGAGTTTTTCGAACAATCGAGTAACCGAATACATTCGAAAATCAAAAATGCCGAATAATCGAATCTCGATTATTTTCAAAAACAAAAAATGTCGAATATTCGGATATCGAATATTTTCGAAAAACAAAAATGTCGAATAATCGAATATCGAATATTATCGAAATAAGAAAATCGTCCAATAATCAAATATCGAATCATTCGAAAAGAAAATCCGAATACTCGAATATATTAGGTCGTTCCGAAAGTAATGTCGCTTTTTTTAAATGAACGCCACATTTCATGGAATCAAGATTTTCAAGAGATCTTAAGAGCATTCGATGCAGCATTTCATCGTCTTTCGAATGGTTGTAACTCTATTGCATAATTTTCATTGAACTTTCGAAAAATCAACAAAATCTGCGACTTATGCTTTTTGCCATGGTCAAGTTCGGCAGTTTTTTAAAATTTTTGCACCTAAATTCCGAAGAAGTACAAGTGGCAGGTAGATAGAGCAAACCCTATAGAACACAAAAGAATTTTTTTCTTTTCCTTAGCTTGCTTCTTAGAGTTTCTGGAATCAGTTTTAAAATGCCATCAAATTCCATATTTGGTCAACTCAAACCTCACAGAACAACAATCGGCAAGCAACTCGGGTGTCATTCGACGCAGCTTTTTCTCCCCTTTTTACGAGTTGTTTTTGGTTTCCGAATCATCAAGTTTTCCGAGATAAAATCAACATAATTCGGGTTTTTCAGGGCGCCTCCGGCTGTACTCGGAATTTTCGAAAGTTGCTAATCTGAAGCGGTAAACGCTCATTTGCTTTGTAAAATTAGTGTGAAACCCATATCCATTTTTGTAAGTTTCAAAATCCGACGATTTCTTGGTGTTTGATAAATTTGTGTCTGAGACGAGCCTGCTAGGATTTGATGTTTCCATCAAAAAATCTATACAGAAATTATGACGAGCTCCGAAAAGTAGAAAAAAGTTGTGCAGTTTCCCGTAGGGTTTGCTCTATCCGTACATGACTTGGAGTCCTTCCGGGGGTTGTTATAAAAATTTAGAAAAGTTGTGAAACTTGACCTTTTCAAAAAGCATGGGCCGCAGATTCCGATAATTTTCCCAGAGGTTATTCAATTTCGTGCAGCAGTTATATAACCACTAGAAAGAGAATGAAATGCTGCATCAAATGCTACCAGAATCTCTTACACATCTTTGTTCCAAGAGATATGGCGTACGTTTGAAAAAAGCGACATTACTTTCGGAATGACCTAATATTTAAGAAAAAAAATCCGAATAAACGAATATTTTGCATCGATTATGCCGAATATTCAAAAAAATTTTGATCGAATCAGCGCAGTGAACGACTCCATGCAGAGGGCAGCTTGGACAAGAACGATGGTTGCTGATATAGCAGCCAAAATTGTGACGTTGTCATGTGGTAGTTTTTCGATCACACGAAATTGTCGAATAATCGAATAACTTCTGAAAAGAAATATTCGAATGTTCGAATATTTACGAAAATCAAAATTTTCGAATAATCAAATAAATTCGAAATTGACAAATTTCGAATAAGCGAATACTAATATATTCGAGATTTTGAAATTTTCGATTAATCGAATTTCCAATAAGATTCATTCGAACACTTTATTTGATTACTCGAATATTTGAGAGATTGAGCGACGGTCGAGCTTGGACAATACTCGAATATTTATTCGATTCGGTCCAAATTACACTCTGCACCTCTTTTGAAATCGTGCTCTCTAGTGATTGAAGCTCCGCCTTTTCCACGCTCGTGGGAAAGTAATTAGAGAGCACGCTCACGGAAGAGATGTAGAGTCCAAGCAGCTCCGCCCTCCAGCGCCAACATGTTGAATCAGGGTAAGTCAGGATACGAAATTCATTTCTGTACAGATCCGGACTAAACCTTGCATGTAAACACTTCTGGGCGGGGCGGGTGTCGCAGACTATTTTTCGTTATCTGTCGATATCGGTATTAATGCAATCTTTTAGCTAGAAGCCAATAGTTGACTCAGGGTAGTGAGTGACCTTGCATAAACACCCCCAGTATGTCGCACAGGATTAATGGCTATAGTAGCCACATTCTATGTGATAGCACCATACCCTCGATACATAGAGCCACGTACTCTGGTCACTTTCACTTTGAGGGCCATGGGTGGACACAACCTTCACCTGGGGAAAAAGCAGAATTCATCCGGGGCGAAGCCCCGGATGTTATTATCCTGACTATATCGGAACGAATGTTAATGAAGCAAATATAGGGAATAATATCTTTAGCTAATCTCAGCGAAACCGAGATTTTGCGTTTTCAGCCTTTTTTACCTTAAAAAGAAGGTGTGGGATCCTCACCAGAATTCAAGACAAAATTTCTCACTTATCCTCTCATTTGAATAAAATCGAGTTTCAGAAGTTCAGGAAAGCTACTGGAGAAAATAAAAACGAGAAACTGCGCTTAAATCTTGCGTAGAGAGTCGCGCATGAAAACGCTGGCCTATCTCATTAAAGGCAGTACATCGGCAGAATGAGACCCGTGACAAAACAAGGTCACAGGGTAGGAGCCCCCATATGGAATCTATCGGCCAAAGTCCGGTCTTTCTCTGCCACTTCTAACCCCCAAAATTTCAAAGCGAAAGCAACGCTCATCTCCTGTCCTCTCCGACCCCGCCCACCCCATGGACGAGTGAACGCGAAGCCCGTCATGGCGAAGACGCAGAGTCGTTGCGCGACCTCATGCTTATAGCATTGCGGCTGGCGCTCTGACCGCGGAAGTCACTCGTCCATGGGGTGGGCGGGTTCGGAGAGGACAGGAGATGAGCGCTGCTTTCGCTTTGAAATTTCGGGGGTTAGAAGTAGCAGAGAAAGATCGGACTTTGGCCGATAGGTTCCATTTGGGGGCACCTACCCTGTGACCTTGTTTTGTCACGGGTCTCATTCTGTCGATGTACTGCCTTTAAAGAGTGATTTTCAAAGCTTGGGACGTTGTCAGTTCTCCTCGTCGTGTTATGACGATCAGAGTGATATATAATATTGCAGGGTTTCGTTGAGACCCCGCGAAGATCTACTACCAAAGCCAAATGCCCCTCCGGCTCTGGTATGTCTCCGCTGCTCGTCTGCGTCTCCGCGCGCTGCGCACTACCTCGCTACCCCAAACGCGGGGCGCGGGGCATTTGGCTCTGGTACACTTTTCTTCGCTGTTTCGAATCCAATTTTAGCAAGCTATATATCATTTTGAAGTCCTTGATCTCTATTTTCACGCTGACAACGTCCTAGAACCACATTTTTTGATTTGATCGAGAAATCCGCCAAAAACCTCGTTTTCGAAAATCTCTTGTTTTTCTCCTAGTTCAATTATTTTCACGCGGTTTTTTCATGTATTCTGTAGATCTTGCTCCTGTTCATAATGCAGACAACCACCCAGCCCTAACCTCTTCGATTATGGTGTAATTTTTTGCGAAAAATCGTAAAAAGTGCGTTTTTCTTTACCTTGTTCTGTTTCAGTGCTTTCGCATCGATTTTTTTCCAGCTTGAGCGATTATTGCTCAGAACAATAAGCGCAACAATCGACAACGTCCCAGGAAACAGGAATGTCAATGCGGGGGTAAAAATTCAAAGGACGCATCAAAAATCAAAACCTCGTGTTGCGAATTACTGGTCCTAAAGCGAAATTTCAGATCTCCTTGTAGCGATTTATCCGGTTTTTAGCAGTTTCTTTTGCTTTTTATATCTGTTTTACGTCATATTCTCTTCTCTGATCTTCTTTAAACAATCTTCACTATTTATGACGTCGAATGTTCAAGTAACCTTCACTTTTGACGCCCTGTCTACTACTATCAAAGGTATGGATAGCACAAACCGGTATTATCGTAGACTCAAAGATACGGGCTTCAGATCGTCATTTTAATGGAAAAGTTCGTTTATTTCAAATGTTTTTTATGTTGATTTATGAAAGTAGCAAGTTTGTAAGTTCCTCGACTTCGGTAGTGTCTGTGGATGAGTGGATTTAGACTTGAAACTGGAAGTAATATACATATGTGATAGGCTTAACACTTTGTAAAATTGAGGAAAAATTATTGACCGTACTCAACGACTGAAGAACAGCAAATCGTATCGTCATCCGCATCGACGTGCCTTAGGCCTAATGCATACTTCACGCGATCCCACTTGATGTGCGATCTGGCACTGCAGCGACTATTCGTAACTGATCGTTAGCGCGCTTTGCATGAGTCAAACTTAAAGCTTTTGCTATAACTTACGATAACTACGCGCCTATGCACTTAGGACCAGCACACGATTGATCAGTAAATATCTGGCAAACTGCCAAGTCGCGTGGATGTACCGTATTTGGCAAAATCGCGCGAGGTATGCTTTAGGCTTAAAGGTGTGGGACCTGACCACCTCGATAAGTAACTCCAGGACGTACCCTCGATATCAACCCTTTTCCCTCAACATGAAGTGGATTACGTGGATTGATGAGGCGCCGCCTTGCTTCGGACTCGCGCCACAATGCGTGCGCATCTTCGGCGTGATGTGGCAACAAGAACAACGTGGAAAAGCTTGCGCCACCTTGTCTTGAGCGCCAAACGATGCACTCGCAATGTGGCGTGAGCCTTAAGCGAGGCGGCGCCCCATCAATCCATGTAATCCACGTCATGTTGAGGGAAGACATATGGGTTGATATCGAGGGTATACGCAACGCAGATTCTTAGGGCTTAGCACAGACGTACGGAAGTCAAACTAGACTTTATTTTTGGAGCAAATAGCGAAAGTTTAGTGGTTTAGTTTTTGCCACACCAACCAACAACCATAACACCAAACCGATTTATTGCCACGAGGATGGAACCTCAATCTTGGGTGATTAAACCGTGATTCTTTACTTTGCAAACGAAAACATTATGTGATGATCCGATCATAATCTGATGTCCAAGCCATTTACCTAGGCGCCACAAAAGCAGAGTCAAATGATCAAAACGCGTATAAAGCTTGCGGGCTCATGAGTGAATAAAGTGAACAAAGCTGAGCATGTTGGGAAAAGAAGACGATTCCCATCGGGGCGACGAAGAATCCTTGTCGAGTGACGGTTGCATTTTATACTTGTTGTTGATAGTCGTCGGCGCTCTTTGTATAGTTCAGCTCACAAGATAGGAAGAGACATGGGTTACTGTAATGAGCAAGAGATCGCGCTTCCAAGCAGCGATAGAAAGGGATATCGTAAAACATGTGGTCATACATACACCCATTTTTGGAGCGAATAGCGAAAGGGATATCGTAAATCATATCAAACACACATACACCTTACCTCTAGATATGCTCACCTACTTCACAGTCAGGTTTGTACATGCCTAACATGCTCCAACGTGTTATTTCTCATGAGCGCGCAAAGTTTAAAACTGACCGAGATAAACGCATGACTTGCTTACGGCGCACAGTTAATCAATTCGGGCTATGCTTGATTCTACTCTAAACCATATTATGTAAAAATTGGAAATCTATGTGCCTCTATGCGTGTTCCGGATTTGATGATTTCTAGAAAATTAGGTTGGTTTGGCTGGATCAATTTAATGCGCAAAAATCTATTGATCAGTGAAAAGACCGAACTAGACCATTGCTTTGCCTCAATTTTTGTGCCATATATCTTATATATAAAGCTGAATGTCTGTTTGTATGTATGTCTGTATGTATGTCTGTACGTATGTTCCGAATAGAAAATTCCATTTCTGAACCGATCCGGACCAAACTTGGCACACATACACTACGGGCCCCGGCGGGTGTCATAGGCTACTTTTCGTCATCGATCGATATCGATTTTATCGATTTTTATCGATTTTTTTGCTGAGTTCACCTACGGGGCTGGGAGTTGGCACAGGGGGGTAATCGAGCATGGGGATTCCGAATACAATTTTGGTTTTCAGGATTATCGATTACTTTTATCGATTTTATCGATTTTTTTGCAAAGTTTGAGCTACGGGGCTGGGAGTTCGCACAGGGGGGTAATCGAGCATGGGGATTCCGAATACAATATTGGTTTTCGGGATTATCGATTACTTTTATCGATTTTATCGATTTTTTTGAAAATTTGAGCTAGGGGGCTGGGAGTTGGCACAGGGGGGTAATCGAGCATGCTGATCATCCCCAAGGGGGTGATCAGCATGCTCGATTACACCCCTGTGCAAACTCCCAGCCCCGCAGGTCAAACTTTACAAAAAAATCGATAAAATCGATAAAAGTAATGGACGATCCTGAAAACTAATATTGTGTTCGTAATCAGCATGCTCGATTACCCCCTGTGCAAAATCCCAGCCTCGCATGTCAAAATTTACAAAAAATCGATAAAATCAATAAAAGTAATCGATAATTCTGAAAACTAATATTGTATTCGGAATCCCCATGCTCACTTCCCCCTGTGCCAACTCCTAGCCCTGTAGGTGAACTCTGCAAAAAAATCGATAAAAATCGGTAAAATCGACATCGATCGATAACGAAAAGTGGACTGTGACACCCGCCGGGGCCCGAAGTGTATGTGTGCCAAGTTTGATCCGGATACGGCGGAGCCGGGTAAGCCAGCTAGTAGATCATAAAAAGTAAATTTTGATAACTGTTGCGCCCCAACTCATATCTGAACGAGTGTTAAGAGATGCTAGGAGTAAGGTAATTTTTCTGGTCATCTCTCGTACTAGTCGCTGTTGCAAGTAGAGGCGCAGAGAAAATTGTTTTCGATATGAATGTTTTTTGTGACTTTGGAAATAAAATAACGCCTTTCTAGCATTTGCTGGGACTCTCGTCATTGACCAAAGTGTTTTTCAAAAACAACAGATATTTTTAACAACAGATTTTTATTTTCTGATAATTTAATTTCTGTAGCCCATCCCATTTCATAATCAAAGGGGACTCGTAACTATGCGATCTCTTGGGGACTCCGTTTTCAAAAATATTCGGAATCAACGCGTGCTGTGCCCTGGTTCCAATGACACAGCACATTCTTTTTGTAACTCCTGATCTAGGATATTTTTTGCTTGTTACCTGTTTTCTTTGTTTTTCTTTCAAACCCTGTGTCATAAGTAAGGTGCTTCATGGTAGAGCTATTAAAGGTCGTGATTTTTTGTTTGCACGTCGTGCTCAACATCTGTCATTGATTTTTTAAGCCAGTGCCAGCTATGCATACACTTCATTCACATCACTTCAACTAACAAGTGTTTCATAAAGATTCGGAGCTGGCACTCACCTGAATAGACTAAAATTAACGAACATAACGAACATTATAGACGGAACAATAAGCCTTCATCGGCAAAATTTCCAAGGCAAGCGTTCCTATAATACACAGAATTCAGAAAGAAAAGCGAGAAAAAACAACTTTTACGCGCAGAATTTCCTACACTAGTTTTTTGAGCGCTATGAAGGCAATAAGCGCGCCGCGCAACGCCGCGGAGGTACATGTGGGGAGCTGGCCGAAACATACAATATGCGCGCTCATTTGCAGTCACGTCGACATTCCTCGGTCAGGGTTAGCCCAGTTCTGTATAGGAAAGAAGCAATCAGCTAAAGACGCGGTGCATCTTCTCTGCATAAAAACAGGGCAATTTACTGTTCATCTCTATCTCCTATTGCTATTTCAAGAATTCCAGACGGGTCTAAGCAGGCGGCATTCTTTTCTTCACCTATCTGACAGTCTTATCGCTGCTAGCTACTATTCCAGTAGTATCCTAGTAACGACAGAAATGACTGCTATTCTTGGACTTAAAAGAATCTAAGAAGACCATATGGGAGTTTGATGATATATTCTGCGCTTTCTGACAAGCGCTTATAGATGCCGCTATAAACAAATGGCATGCTTAGGCACCCGCCATACTTGATCCTCTTGATCCTCTTGATCCGCTTGATCCGCTTGATCCACTTGACCACTTAGGCCCGTATGCACGTACATCCCCGCTGGGGAGGGGAGGGGATCTGAGAGGGGATGCGCCATATCTCGCTAGTTTCGTATCTTTCTTCTTCCTTTTCTATCTTGCTTATGAAGGTTCTCATACCCTACTACCTGCGCATAATCGATGCCAGGTTACTGGCATAACTGATTAGATTTGTACTATTTTGTGTGATCCCCCGGGGATCCCCAGGGGATCCCCAGGGGATCACTCCTCATTTTCAAAGTCATTTATCTTTCTGAGAAACCAATGGAAACGTCGCAAAATTGTACTGAGGATATACTACGGCACTGCTAAGCATGTTTTCGACAGAAAAAATGGAATCTGAAGATTGTGAAATTTTCGATGATCCCTAGCTTTTGAGCCAGGGATTACCGAAGATTTCGATATCCTGGGATTTCACTTATTTTTACTTTAAATCCCCAGGGGATCACACAAAATAGTGCAAATCTAATCAGTTATGCCAGTAACCTGGGATCGATTATGCGCAGGTAGTAGGGTATGAGAACCTTCATAAGCAAGATAGAAAAGGAAGAAGAAAGATACGTAAAGTAGCGAGATATGACGCATCCCCTCTCAGATCCTCTCCCCTCCCCAGCGGGGATGTACGTGCATACGGGCCTTAATTCGCTTCGTGCAAAACTCGCGCACACAGCAGTTTGTCATTTGGCGCCGCGTAGGTAAAAAGGAATTTCGTATGGTTGCAACTTCGCTGTACGCGACACCAAATGACAAATTAGTAACGTAAATTAGTAATTAATCCCTAATGGCTTGAGGCCAAAAAATGGACCAATTACCATTTATACTAACAAACTTTAGAGCGAGTTATGATTCGTCAAAGACGAGATTTCAGAAAAAAATGTTTTTTGTCAATATTTTTTCTGTCCTTTGATGATATTAGTACAGGTAGACGTGCTCTGTATTGCGAAAGACTTGCTGCTTCTGATGGTTTTATAGCATAGTACATCAAAGTGAAAACTAGCAAAACAGTTTTGCACCAACCTAAGATAAAGATCTTTGGAAAGACTTGAGGACGATTGCTATCGTACCTGATTTCCTCCCTCCAGTAAAATTGCCCGTAAGCTGAAAATGTTTTCTTTTGTATGTCGCGGGTTGCGAAAAGGACAATTTTACTTAAAAACAATTTTTTTCATTAGTGTTGATAGTTTTATGCAGTTTACTGATTAGCTTATTCTCGAACTGATTGGAACAAAAAATGCTGCGCACCTAATTTATTTGTTTTTTTGCCTATTCTTGCATTAAAATGAACAATTCGTTTTACAAATGCTAACCAAACTACCACCGCTTGTATTTTCTGAAAGAGCGACGTGCAGTCGCCCGATTTATGTGACATCAATTTAAGTGGCCATATCTCGCTCCAAAGTGGACAAATTCTTAATCCGGAGGCACATTCGACTCAGGTCGGCGCGAGCATCTGATATATAGAAGTGCTCGCTTGGGCAGTAGGTTGTCCAGTAAGGCAATGAATAAGCACACTGGGTAGCCTATCGTAAGCAAAAATCTTGATCGATGGAATCTGACCTCCTATTATGTCCAAGTGGGTGCTTCTATAAATCAGAAGTTGCGCCGCATGAGCTAAGTCGAATGGCGTTTTTGGATTGAGAATTCCTCCACCCAGAAGCTAGGCCACGCTACGATGATGTCACATGAATCAGGCGACTGTGCCTCTTTTATTTTCACAATTTACGAGCGGTATTGCAATTATTTTGTACAATATCTCCTCCTAATGTGTATCAAAAGTAAGAAATCAAATCCTTATAATATTATAAGTTGGCGGATAATTTCTGTTACACTTTTTCTTCGTAAAATTCTGAAATCTCGAAGCTCTTCAAAATCTTCAAAATTGCTCCATATCTAGGGCACGACAGGGTGTACACAACAGTCATGAGTTATTCGCAAATGCACAAATGGCTAGCATGTCTACGACTTTGTCAGCATACTCAAAATTGTCATTTTGTCTTTGAATTTTTTTCTGCGTCTAATTTTGTTATCTCTCTCCTTTAATTTTATGAACATATTTTGCTACTCTCTTATTTATGGCAGCACTTTGGTGCCAACATGCTAAAAATGAGGGTGCACAATTTCGAAAAAAAAATTTGGATGTCGAAAACTTTCCTTTTATGCGCATTGTGTAGGATTCGATACGAAGAGATTGATAAAATTTTTTCTTAATTTTTTTGATTATTCTTTATGTCAAAATGCAGAAGTGCGCTGATATGGCGCACCATGTAGCTCATGTGAACGTGTGTAGACATGCGTGTGCCATCCCCTATGTTTGTTAACTATGTACTATCCTGCCCAACCACATTGCCCGGTCTCCCTGATTAATTGGAAGAATCTCACTCCGTTGACAAAAATGTCCATAAAACGCACTCCTGCCGATAAAGCAGATGCTTTGGGCACAGGCCTCGGCCTTGACAGTACCGGTAGACCTTTACACCTCGTGCTCCTTGAACATAAGAATTTTCGAAAGCTTTTAAGATTTTTAAGAAATAAAAATTGAAAGTGTAACAAAAATTATCCGCCAACCTAACACATCATGAGAAATGAATCTGGGACAAAATCAGCGAGCTGGAGTGGAAAAATCAGAATTGAGTTTATACGCTGAGACATTCGATTACTATCAACTTCTTGTAGTCAATGGGTAGATCGTGGCCATGAATGATAAATTTAGATTACAATAAATGCTTTAGCAAATTGATCACCGAAATTCGGAAAATTGCTTTCTAGTATTTCCACTGATTAGCCTACATCGTTCCATATCTTAATAAGAATTTTAAAGTAAACAATCTCATAAAGCCCAAGATTTTCTATCTCTATTATGCTCCAAATCAAATTACATTGAAGCTAGAGAAAGTAACGGAGTCCCAAAACTGTTGCAAGAATTATTCATCAACCTAATAACTTTACAATTGACCTAACCCCTTCAAAGCAGAAACTTTTCAAAAGCACGCTAGCTCCTGAAAGAGTTTTTCGAAGCCATGTTGCAAGGGAAAATGAGACTTGTTGCACACGAATGCACAGCCGCGACCCCTATTGCAATCGCCAAGAAATCATTACTGCAAGTGGTAAAAAATGTACTTATGACGGGCGAGCGACACCATTGACACTGCGGCGCACTCACTTGCTCGAGAATATGCGATGTCGATGAAATGCATTGAGTGGCTGGTAGGTATAGTCGAGTCATTTGTGATTAATATGTGATTTGTACACCACGTCACTCTCCGATTCTTGCTGTAGCTGGCTAGTATAATCGTTGTTGTAACGAGGAATTGTTAGGAACTTACCCTAATTTCAGAAGCACGAGACGCAGAGTTTTTTTTTGATGGTACCCAATATATCTTCTACCGTTTGGCGCATTGCCTAAAAAACCGTACGGTGTATCGGTGGTTCGTAGGCTTTGTAGTAGCCTGAGGCGATACACGCCCCTTGAAGTGTATTATATAGCGCGAGGAAGCATCTATGCTTTATTGAGTCAAATGACATGCACGTGTAAGTGCAGTGATGAAGTGCTGGTGAATACAGACTTGTCGAAGTAATGTTACATACGTCCGGGCGATAAGATATGTATTACAGCAGGTCATGCCTACGGCATAATCTTTACGGTACTTGAATGAGAGTAAAGATATAATTGTGAGGAGGTGCCAACAATGTCGGCACACTCCGGCCAGCGAGAGAGAGAGATGATACAGCGAATTAGAGCAAAAGGATAAAATGTGATATATCAAGCACTCACATTCTTTTTCGGTATATCGATTTAATCGTTGCAGTAAAGGCGCATAGAAAAAGACAAAGCTCTCAGCATGATTATTGTTGTACCTGCGATGGTAAGCAGTGATAGATGGCTGTAAATAATGATGGTCGCCATCGCATTGCTTCAGAGCGATTTCAGCAAATGACAATAAGGCATGCAGAGGAAAAAATGTGAGGATGGGGCATCTGCTCATGACTCTTCTGAAACGATTTGTAATCTCCGAAGCACATCTTTTACTGAAATCACTGCATGTTCTTCCCTACGGTAATCCAGATGTCGTGACCTGTGCCAAGGGCACTCACATTTCTCATGACTCTTCTGAAACGTCGCCTTCAACATGCTGCCACCACAACAACTCCAACAACCACCACGTCCACTATAATTACTATCAGCCTCTCCCCGTTCAACGTCACAACCAACTACAACAAACCGATTCTCATCATACTACTTGTAGATGCAGTTGTGAACACCTAATCATGTATGCAATTATAATTATTGAATTCTTTGACTCATTCTACATCTATGTATCCCCTTGTCTGGCCGGAGTATCATCGACCAATCGATGATTCCTAATACTCATGGCATATGATGTCATAATTGATGGGGTGTGCCATACCTGCCGCGCACACCTGAGAGGTTTCTCCTCACTCTTGATTACACGTTGACCACCTAAGTTCCAACCTCATACTCTGGGTTACAGTATTGCAATAAACTGAACCAATCCTGTCCATTGTTTCAAAGTATAACATTGCATTCCAAGGCAATTACCGTACTGTGGCCTGAGGTGAAATAGCGCCTCTTGAAGTGTGTTATACAAAACCATTAATTAATAAGCTTCATAAACAGGCGATCTGTATACATGGGCGCTGTGATAGAATGCTGACGATAAAGAGCGTGGTAAGATGACAAGCATCTGGGCAGCAAACATACTCATATAATAGCAGATCATGCTTATGGCATTACCTTTACGCTACTTTGAAAAGATAATATACAACAAAGAAAGTGCCGATGTTATCGGCACATACAGCGCGATCGCGAGGCACAGCAAAGAGCTGCTCGCATTCTTGTACTCTTGAAGTGTGCCGATATTATACCTGTACCTGTTTACCCATATACATGCTCGAAGAGAGAAAAACAAAAAGAAATTTCCAAACTGCTGATGTGCAAGCCCACAAGTCGTGGAATATCGCGCATTATATGCAGTGCACTAAGACTCGCGACTAAACCTTGGGTATGTTTCAAATTTTTTTACCTACTGATTAGATTAGCGAGAGTTCGGAGGGAATGGTGTCTATCTTTTTGAGCAACTGAAGCATCTCACTTGCGAAACAGATTTTCCGCCCCGACCTGATCCAAAACTGTCCTTTGAATTTCTCCAGGATATGCTTTGCTTTTTGTTTTCATGTTATTGGTATTTTCGCATTAGCCCTACAATGCACAATGTCACTTCAGCGCCTCATACTTATAGCTCGAATGGCAAATTTATTTTGCATGCTAAATTTGGATGCAGAAATCCTATAAAAATTGTTTTAGTTGATGTGAGAGAAACCACCATAGAAATTCTATACGACCTGGTTCATATCAGTTAAACCCCTGGCGAAAAACCAGGGCCGGTAGTAATCTGGTCGAAACTCCGAGTTTATAGCTGCGCGTTAACTCAGAGTTAACTTTGAGTTTCGTTTTGAAACTCCGAGTTAACTGCGAGTTTCGTTTCTGAAATCGGAGTTTCGTTCTGCTACTTGAGGATCCGCTCTAGTTGTTGAGGAGCCGCCACACGCCTCATCGCAAAACGCTGCGACTAAGTCAAGACTCGAACTTCCGTTACTCGGCGCGAAGCGCCTACTGCTAGACCGCTAAGCTAAAGAACAATTGCAAATTTGCCGTAACTGCTTAATGAATCCCCGTTATCAAGATCTCACATGTCAAGACATGTGGAGAGGCGTTAGGCTTGCCTGTGAGGTGCCTAGCAGTGGCGATCTCAGGATTGCGATCCCGGGAGGGGGGGGGGCAAAAAAATTTTCAAATAAAGGTGCGTGGCGTTAGCCACGCACTCTGAAAATATTTTTTGGGGTGCATCTCAAAATTCTTGCAAGTCTAAAGCCCACGAAAAAATTTTTTCACAAGGCTTATTTGAATTTTGAAAAAACTCTAAAAATTGTTTTATCTATTTACAAAAATAAACAAGTTATTTGCACATTTTTATAACCCATGTAGGTAACCCATGTAAGTATGTTCCTTCCCCCCCCCCCCCCCGGCCTCCCTCCCTGCCCCTCAATCCGCCACTGGTGCCTAGCCATAATATAATATATCCTAAAGATTCTCAAAGAAGTAGCAGGATAAAACATGACATAGACAGCAATCCAACAATCCGTCCCCCACCCCTCTCACCATATTTTGATATGCTACTATACTTGATAAAATTCGAAAGTCTGTTAGTATCCAAAATTTTTCGAATGACCTAGATCTAAAATTTGTAATCTTGAAATAGACCATTATTTTAGGAAAATAGACTTCAAATATTGAACAAAGTCTACAGGTCATTCGTAAATCGAGTGTTAGAATTTCAAAAGACCTCTGAATAATGTAGCAAATTTCGAAAATTTTTTCTCGAGGTCTCTATTGACACAGTAAAAAAGAAATAATTTAGAAAACACTCCCTGGTATCATTACTTTTTTAGAAAGTTCAACTCAACCTGAGATTTCGCCGTTTTTTTCGTATATGCCCACAGTAATAATCCTCACTGAAAACGGACATCATGTTCATTATTGCACTGCCAAATGAACCTAGTGGCGAATTTTTAAGCAGTTCAGTAAGTTTATTCCATCACATCTACTGTAACCCCATCGCATAGTCTTGCAGTAGAAAAGAAATAGTAAGTATCTAACAGTGGCGAACCGAACGGGAGGCTCCTCCTCTCCTCGGGATGGATCGCGAAAGAAGGTGGTTGGAACTACATATTAGTTTCGCAATGCTGGTAGATATATGGTTGAAAAGGTCATGCGAAAATGGCAATAAAATTCAAGTAGGCAGAGCCTACTGCCTACTCTACTAGCCATTTGTGCCATCAAGGGCCGTTCTATAAGACCACTTAGACCACTGGCTGTGTTTTTGAAAGATATGGATGAGACTACTTATGGCTTTGATTTCACAGCACACGCAGCTGCTAAGAGGTTCAAGATGGAATACGGCACTGATAACTGGCTGATGAAAACCATGAATTGCATTTTCATGCAAAATTACTAGCATAATCATAATCAGCATGGCAAATAACCCCACCACACCATTTTTCAGCGAATTTTATGATTTTCACCCAACTACCGTATCCCTACCGTAACCTCGTTATGTGGCCATGTAGCGAAAAATGGATATCATAATCGTGATCAGCGTGTCAAAAAACCCCATTGTACCAATTTTCAAGCGATTTTGTGACTTTCGCACAACTACCGTATGCCTACCGTAATCCCGCTCCGTGGCCCCGCAGCGAAAAACGAATGTTATATTCGTGATCAGCATGCGAAATAACCCCAGTGTACCAAGTTTCAGCAAATTTCGTGACTTTCGCCCAGCTACCGTATCCCTACCGTAACCCCCCTTATGTGAGCGGATGGCGAAAAATGAGCATCAAATTCGTGATCAACGCGTCGGATAACCCCCGGGACCAAAATTTTACAAAATTTCAAATTTTTGTGTTCAACGGTGCACCATGATACCCCCATCATGCTTCATGAAACCCAGAGCAAAATCTACCCCGGAGGACTTTTTTCTGGACCTCTGCGTTTACGCACTATTTCTCTTTCTCTAACCAAACTCAGAGTTAACTCTGAGTTTCGCGGGCGGCTGAAACGCGCAGCAAACTCAGAGTTAACGCGCAGCTGAGCTGCGCGTTTCGTCGCGTAGCGTCTCGCATGGAAAGAATTACGCTACGTTTCCATACTTGGCATAAAGTACGTCTTGCGAGGTATCCTGCCATATAAGCTTTTCCCCAATTTGGTTTGCTTATGCAGGTGTTAATGGTCCCTGAAAGGTGCGTGTTAACTCAGAGTTAACTCTGAGTTTGAGCTGCGCGTTTCGACAGGTTTACTACCGGCCCAGAGAGTGTAAAGTAGAAACCTGAACTCAGGTGTTTATTTTTATGATCCACAAATAGCTTACTAGTAATTTTTCTGTAACCTAAGTAATCCGTAATGTATGTCATTCACTTTAAGACAACAGAAGTGAAAGAAGAAAATGAGTGAAAAGGAGTTTGAGTGCCATTTCATAAGAAACTCAGGTCAAAGTTTCCATTAGCTGGAACAATGATATCCACCCTCCCTTTTGCCGAATAAGCACGTAGCAGATGTATAACTGAGGTATTGAATTGCAGGAAGTTCAAACTTTTTTCCCGTCCCATGCACAGGATTTCCGAACTTTTTTGGTTGATCTCAGAAACCTCTGAAGGCTCACGCTCGTACTTAGTAGAAGTAGAAAACGAGGGAAAACGAGCAGCACAGGGCTCGACATAAGGTAGTTTTTCCAATTTCTCAGAAACAAAGTCCCCATAGACTTCGCCACAAAAATACGGCATTACCTATGACGCGATCATGAATGGATCAAACACAAATAACAAAAAATAATGAAACAAAATCTTATATATAAAGCTGAATGTCTGTTTGTCTGTCTGTATGTCTGTCTGTCTGTATGTCTGTACGTATGTTCCGAATAGAAAATTCCATTTCTGAACCTATCCGGACCAAACTTGGCACACATACACATCGGGCCCCGGCGGGTGTCATAGGCCACTTTTCGTCATCGATCGATATCGATTTTATCGATTTTTTGCAAAATTTGAGCCACAGGGCTGGGAGTTGGTACAGGGGGGTAATCGAGCATGCTGATTACGAATATAATAATGACAGGGCCGGGAGGAGCCGGGTAAGTCAACTGGTATAGAAATAATATCAGAGAGACGAAAAAGAACTAAGGTGTTCGTCTTCCCCAAATTAGCGGCGTGCTGTGTCCGGCGCGCACCACTGCGAGCTTGGAGCAGGCTTGTCGTCATACAAAATTTTTGGAGGCAGTATCTAGGCAAGGAGCAGGGGATTTAGGAAAAAAAGACACTCTGCAGGGTTTTATGGTAGAACAAAGTTATGTTATACTTGCAGAAAAATTATGTAAAGGAAGGGAAATTTATGACTTTTCCTTAACACGGCCATCTCAGGCGGCTGCCTAGGTGGCTGGAAAGGCTCCTAACTCCGAAAAAAGCTTGCCAGCTTTCAGCCTACATAACTTTTCATAACTTTTCATACATAGTCCTAACTCCCTGTCGCCCATCTACGCACCAATTTTGGTGTCATTTCAT